CCGGCGACAAGCTCAGGCGACTCTCTCTCTACAAAACCAATCACTCTCTCAACTCTCTCTCTAAAACTTCTCTTTCACTTGCATGAAATGAAATATTGGGGAAGAAAATAGGTTTTATATGGGATACCTTGGGCCAAAACGATTGGGCTTGGGTAATGGGCTGGGAATTGTGTATTGGGTGGGTTTGGGTCATGACAATAAGTTCTAGATAATTTTCTGTAATTGAAAGATATTGTAGTCAACCAAATATATGAAAAATAAATAAAAATTCAATAATACTAATTATAAACTATTTTATTACTCTAAAAGTATATTTTATGTTATTTAAAAATATTTTCAAATATATTATTACTATTTTGTGAACTTTCCTTTTTTATGAAATTATATTATATATACATTTTTTATGTTATTTAAAAATATTTTTAAATGTATTATTACTATTTTGTCAACTTTCCTTTTTATGAAATCATATTATATATACATATATTTCGTTTTAAATTGTTTTTTATGATATAAAAATGCCTTTTTATTACATATCTTTTTGGAAATTTTTGAAAAGGAAAAACTAAAAATAAAAGAATTAATAATATTATTTTCAACTATTTTTAATTCATTAAGGGTATCATTGTAATCAACCATCGTGAGAATGAACGTGAGAACGACACATAGGAAACTGACTTCTCAAATAATATTATAGAGATTATTGTATTTGAAATAGTTATATAAACATTTAAATATATGATTAACATTAGAAATATATGCGATTTATGCTTTAAAATAAATATTTATGTATATAAATGTGAAAACAAACATTCGCACGGATGCATGGATCAAAATCTAGTGTCAGTTTAAAAGAAAAGATTTTGTGAGTTTGTTAGTTTTGAATTGACCTTTTTTTTTGTAATGTCAATTTGTGACAAGGGAAGTTAAGTCATATAACTAAAAAAGACTATAACTCACTATTTTTTTTTTTGTCAACTTCTGGATTTTTATTAATCCATAAACATGGCCCAATAGGCTTACAAGTGAAATCAGATTATTACATACGAGGCCCAAACAGAGACAATATAAATATATTAAAGTCCATAAGAGGATTTGTCTTCATGTCAACAAGCGTCAGTTTCTGGAGGCATCTGATACACGCGTAATTCCACGTATCTTTTATGCGAGAATCTCAATCCCGACCACCGCCAGTCTTCACCGCCTTGGTGTTCCGTGCTTACTCCTCCGTCTTCCGGAGATGATATTGAGATGACTTTACAATATATATAAATATATATATTATATATATGTTTTGGAGTCTAGTAGGTATATTTTCAGGTTCAGAAGCATTTTGAAGTAAAGTGATGATTTAGGTGTTCTTATGGAGCTTAAATGAGAGTTTTTCTGTGACAACTATGAAGATCAGACAACAAGGTCGATATCCAGAGATAGATATCGATCGATATGCATCATGTGTAATCGATCGACGACGCTTCCGTAGAAGATGACGAATCGAGATACTCCATCGATCGATGTACACCTTGTACCATCGATCGATATCGAACATGAAGAATAAGTTTGACTCAGCCGACTTGAAGCCCAAGTACTCTCAATATTACAAGATTGCCTCTGGCGAGTTTTAAACCTAATTGAACTCATATTTATAGTTATGCCTATGCTTTTATTCTATGTATGCTTTTTATGCTTTTTAATACTCTTAGTTTTTTCATTTATAAAAGTATTCTTTTCATCTTATTCTTATTTTCATCAAAGGTTATAAAGTTCTAGATTTAGAAGAATATACAAAGAGATTTGTTGTTCAAAGGAACCAAGTGTTCAATCTTCTAATCTTATGAATTTCTATTATTACCTTGATGCTATGAATCACTTAGCCATGTCTGAGTAGATTCACTTGTTAGATTTGGGGTTCAAATAGTTATGAGGGATTAGCCCCAACTATGGATTGTTGAGTTAGTGATATTCATTATCATGATGAACCCTAATGCTTAATCTAGAGTAGCTAACTAGAGTATGATCCTGGAATGATTTAACTTGTTAATCATCATCCTGAAATCATTTGGCATAAGCTGAGATCCTCTAGGGACGAGCGAGAGCCGGTCTATGATCTTGGTGAACACATATTCAATTCGATCTGAAGCTATATCGATCGATACTCCTATAGACTAATCGATCGACGGCAACCTATATTGTCCGATATCGCTGTCAAAAAATCGGTCGATATTGCCTGCAGTCAGATCAATGGACGAGTCTAGATAGCGATTGCTAATAGACTTATATAAGATTTTAAGTTCTTTAATATCTTGCAAGCAATTTATTAAGACATTTTTAGCATTATAATCCTGATTATCTGAATAGCAACCTCGAATCTAACTACTTTCTTTTATTGTTTAAAACCTAAAAAAATTCTCTTGAGCAACTCACCATTGCTCACAACTGCAATTTACTTTTAAACTTAATCAACCTAGCATAATCACTAAGGATTATATCTTTTGTGTTCCTTAGTTCCTTGTGGATTCGATCCCTAAGTACTACAACTGAACCTCTTATTTGAGAGAGTAATTCACTCCTTAGAGTAATTTGAGTGATATCATTTGGGTACGTTGTTGATGTTTGTGAAGATGTATCAATAATTGTACTTCGTCACATGTGTCTAGTTCTATATGCAAGTCGACCGCATGAATATATTGATGCTACATAATAAGTACCTTCACAACTCTTTACTCCACCACCCTTGAACCCAAGTGGGCATTTGCAACAATTTAAATGATCATCCTGGAAAAAAAATCTATTTCAAGAACCAAAAAAAGTTTTACTATAGGTGAATAAGATGATTGTTTGAAAAAGTAGACATTGATATAGAAGATGAAATACTTACTACGGAAGCAGAGTAAGTGTAGCTGCCTCTGGTTTCTCTCCAGCACCCTCCATTGTTGATACCACAATGCAAAGCTTCAGAGGCTGCCAAGTGAAAACAACAACGTTGAGAGCAGGCTAAACATAGGAAGAGTTAAAGTTTGTATCCAGAATATGTGAAGCTACAGGAAGATAAACTAATATACCTCTACAATTAGTGTAACTGTCACCAGAAATTTTAGAGAGATTCACACCGTGGGTCACTTTTTGAGATTTAATAACATTCTCAGACCATCTGCAATCATGTTCCTCGACCAGCACGATTTCCAATTTTGGTTTTAATTATTTTATTAGTTTTTTTCATTTTTGGTTTTATTTAAAAAAAAAAAGACAAACTAATCGTGGGCTGCCACGTTTCATGGGGCCCGCGACACAGTAACGTTACTCATCAAAATCAATCCTTCCCTTAGGATTTTTCCAGCTTGATAACGCACAGAAACCAAAAAAACTAATATTTTAATATATTTTTTTTAGAAGACAGAGCTACGTTCTCCGTGTTGGAGGTGCTCTTAGTCACTTTGTTCTACTAGGGTACTTTTTATTAACTAAAAACCAAAGATTACCTAACTAGACTCCTCTCTCTAACTAAATGGGCCACAACTTTAATTGTGTCCTTCTCTCTCTTTCTCCTTCGGTAAAAACACGTTTGCTCTGAATTTTGGGACTATGTTTCATTCTGAGCCACCAATTTTTTTTTTTTTTGTTATCATTATTTCTTACAATATCACTACAAACAATTATTTTAAAAAAATCACTAGCCACATGTACAATATACTATACATGTGTTAATGTGAATATGTACATATATACATGTGTTAATGTGTACATAACTAGATAGTATGATAATCAAAATTTACTATTAGATATACATGTGCATATGTACATATATACATGTGTTAATGCGTATATATTTACATGTGTACTTGTGTATATCATATTGAAAAAAAGTCACTAACCACATGTACAACGACTTATATACATATTAGGTATACATGTGAATATGTACATATATACATGTGTTATGTGTTATGTGTATCTATTTACATGTGTACTTGTGTACATCATATGTATACAATTTGGTCACAAACTTTCGATGTATATATGTACATGATGTATACAACTAAACTGTACACAAGAAACAATCTTTTATATGGAACACATGTTTTCATATGGAAGCACATGTGATGTACATGTGTACAAGAAAAATTGTACACAAACAATAATGTTATCTACAAGCAATTTTACCAATGTGCACTCTAGCCCATATTTATGAAATTAAACAAATATACACTTGGTAAATTTTTAGGTATATTTGAGTTATAGTTTATAAAGTACACTTGGTAAATTTTTAGGTATATTTGAGTTATAGTTTATAAAGTACAATTTCACCATCCATTATAAAATTTAATATGAAACACAACACTACTTGTCCATAAATGAAACCTTAAACACAACACTACTTGTCCATAAATACTACTTGTCCATAAATGAAAACTTATCTTAAAAAAACCGTAGCTTGATTCAGCTGTAAGGAGTCTCCCATAAAAACTTACATATTATCTATCTCGAATAAGATATTTCTAAGAATTCAGTCAAAGCTTTCAGTGTTATACTCATACAAACAAAGGGAAATATTCGACTACACAAATATTAAACGACCGTGAGAGTTAAAAAAAGGCTCACCATCATCATCACTTGACAAGTCTTTCACATGCTTCTTTCTTAACGAGGGTTGCTCTGTTGCATGACAAAGTCATCTTTCCAATTTTTTTGCTTCTTTCACAGATCTAATCCTTGAAAGAGCTGTCTCTCTCTTCTCCTCGCCGCCTAAAGTAAAAGATATTAAACCCAATTTCTCAGAAAAGGATAAAACTTTAGACTGCCAGAACATGTTCAGTAACTTGATTGAACTTATAAGCTTGAACGCTTGAACATATAGCAGAGGAACCATATGATAGAAACAGAATATGGACTTCTTTACCTCCAAAGACGATGGATTTGTAAGGATTCTGGTCCATGAGAATCTCACAGCATGCCAAAGCTGACTGAGCCAGAACATCAGCCATAGATTTTAACAGGAAGGGGGTTTTACGACGGCCATGGATCCAAATGAGAAGGAGAAAGAATTTTTTTCGGGTCTAATGGACTGTTAAATTTTGATTATCAAGAGATCTACAAGACGGTGACAATAAGGTAAGGATATGTGTGGTAAAAGAGAAAACATTGAGATTTTATCTGAAGAAAAAAACAGAGATTATTTGACGACGGCAACAAGGAAGAAAAAAATAAGGAAGAAGAAGAGAGATGTTGACAAAAAAAAAAAAGAAGAGAAATAACAGTGGTTGTGTCAAGATCTCACAAAGCTGAAGAGAAAACAAAAGAGAAATCCACTAATAATAATAAGTGATTACATTTCAGTTAGTAAATCTAACGAGAAAAAAGGATAAAAGTTAGAGAAAGTGTGTGCATAAGAAAGTGACCCATAATGTAATATATAAGTAGAAATGTGATCTCTAATGTAATTTTCTCGAAATTTTATCACCTTGAACAGTATGGCACTCACACAATCTTCCCCTATATGTATCCTAAAATGTCAATTCATATCAAACAAAGAATAATCAGTCTTAGTGGCAAGTGGCAACAATAACACTAAACACTGGAAATAGATAAAAAAATTTAAGGCCAAATGGTACCCTGCATGCAGTTATGTTGGCAGCTGTATCCTGCCAACACCCACCATTGTTTTCCAAACATTCATTAGTATTTAAATCTGCAAAAAAAAAGAAAAAAATAACTTATCTTAAGCCAATGTCCTGATCCAAGGAAATGAGAGATCTAAAATGAATTGTGAATGTCATGGGGATGGAGATGGTACATTCAGTTAGACATATAGCTGGTTTTGTTAACTCCGAAAACCTGAACCGCATAGCTTTCAGCGTTGCCTCTTTCTCCAATTTACCTAAAAACCAATAAAAAATATTTGATTTAGCAACACAAAAAGAAGTGAGATGACAAGTCATAATGTTCTCCAATACCTTTGTATTGTATGTTGTTCACTACAAGATCTGGTAGTATATAGTCACATCTCCACGAGAACCGTTCCCAATCTGAAACTCATGCGCTGCTTTAAGAATAGGATTCTCCACATCTGCATCAGGATCTCCAATACAGTTGTCCACCTTCTTAAGATCAATATCTAAATCCACAATATATAGAACCATAATCCAGAATTAGCCATCACAGGAGAGCAAAGACAATAGAATCATGAAGCAATATAAAACACACCAAGAGACTTGATAATTTCATCTGCAAATTCCTTAGTATACTTCTCATCCTTCATCAGACACCGAATAGAAAAATCAGTCTCATAATCCCACCAAACCCAAGGCTTACCAGTCTCATTCACCACTCTATAAACACAAGCATGCCGCAGATGAAGGATGAGGCGCACAGTACCTTCCACAGTACCCACCACAACATCCTTCCCATCATACCCTTTAGTAAAATCCTGCCTAGGATCAGGCGCACAGTACCTTCCACGGTTGGTACACTGAGACTTACACTATTTACTCAGCGTAAAAGCCTCAGGGCAGTACCACGTGATGTAGTGTGGAGTAAACTGAGTGTGCCCACATTTCTCAACAATCTGTGCGGCTCCTTTGAAGTTCTTGAGAAATTCGATCTGAGTATTACACTACAAGAAAATAGGGCTTATTCCGAGGAACATTCCGACGACCATGCAATTCCTCGGAAAATTCCGATGGAATTCCGATGAAACACAAATTTTATGTTTCCTCGGAATTCCGTCGGAATATTCCGACGAAATTCCGAGGAACCCATATTCCGTCGGGATATACCGAGGACATTCCGAGGATTAATTATAGTCGTTGACGAGCCGTTGACGAGCCGTTGGAAAAGTTCGAAAATTCCGAGGATTTTACATTTCCCTTGGAATTTCATCGGAATATTCCGACGGAATTCCGAGGGCTATTTATGACCGTTGTATATTCCGACGAAATTTCAACGGATATTTCTAACCGTTGTATATTCCGACGAAATTCCGACGGAATACTAATTTTCCGTCGGAATTTCGTCGGAATCGTCGGCAGCATTTCATCTATAAATACAAGCACTCCTCCTCTCCTTTCATTCACTCAATATTCTCATCCTCTCACTTATACACACGAATCTGGTTCACAAAAATATGTCTTCTTCAAATTATTATTGTTCGTGGATGGATCGACCTCATTTGGATCCCAACACGAAATTACTTACGGAAGAATACCTTAAAGGCATTAGGGAATTCATGGCGGTAGTTCAACGACAACCGGAAGCAAAAACGGGTATGTTAAGATGTCCTTGCTCTACTTGTAAAAATAGAAAGGTTATAAAAGAGTGGGATGTTTGGACTCATCTATATTTGAACGGGTTTACATGAAGTTACAAATTTGGTATCATCACGGGGAAACTGATTATGAATATGGTAGTACTAGCGAACCCCAGACATTGGATAGGTTAGAAGAACCAATTAGAACGGATGTAGATTTTGGTGTAGGTACTGAGCAGATGGTAAATGATCATTTTAGAGGGGATGAATTACCCAATGTAGAAGCTAGGAGATTTTTTGATATGTTGGATGCAGGAAAACAACCTTTGTACCAAGGTTGCAGAGATGGTCATTCACCTTTATCATCTGCAACAAGATTTATGGGCATTAAAACCGATTATAATTTGGCTGAAGAATGTGTGGATGCGATTGCTGATTTTGTAAAGGGTATTCTACCAGAGGATAATCTAGCCCCGGGTTCATACTACGAGGTTCAGAAACTCGTTGTTGGTCTTGGTTTATCGTATCAGGTAATAGATGTATGCATCAATAACTGCATGATATATTGGAGGGCGGATGAGAACCGGGTTACATGCAAATTTTGTGGGAAGGCTCGTTATAGAGATACGAGTGGAAGACATCCAGTACCATATAAAAGGATGTGGTATTTGCCTCTGACGGAAAGGTTGAAGAGGTTGTATCAATCTGAACGCACAACCCAACCAATGAGATGGCATGCGGAGCATTCGACATATGGTGAGATTAGACATCCTTCAGATGCAAAAGCATGGAAGCATTTTCAATCAACATATCCAGAATTTGCGTCTGAGAGAAGAAATGTCTATCTTGGATTATGTACGGATGGTTTCAGCCCATTTGGCAAGCATGGGAGACAATATTCTCTATGGCCAGTCATTCTTACACCATACAACTTACCGCCAAACTTGTGCTT